TTTTTTTCTATAAATATCAATAAAATTTTATTTGTTGGTTAAAAAAACTTGAAAATTTAATACAAGGCTCCTAGTATATTGTTTCAAAGGCAGATGAAAACAATTAAAAATCCTTAGTCACAGTTTTTTTTATAAGCATTTAAAATTCGAATTTTGACAAAATACGTAAAAACGACGAAAATTTGGGAATTATTTTAAGTTAGAAATTCATAAAAAATTTTCTTTTTAAATCTAAGATTTTAAAATTTAATACAAGATTCCTCATAAGTTTGTCTACCTTAATTAAAAAAAAAAAATTCTAGAAGAAAGTCAAATTCAATTTTTATGAGCGTTTGAAATTCATATTTTTACAATATTTGATATTCGCTCGATTTCTCATGTGACGATTTTCTTATTTTGTTGTAATTAAAAAACGAAAGACTGTAGATACTTGAAAATTTTACTGAATGTTTATATTAGCATTTTCTATACACCATTAAATTTTCAAAATAATTTAACTCTTTTTGAGCTGTTTACGGACGTTGTCAGTTTTCAATATTTTTATTTTTTTTGTATTTATAAATACCAATAAAAAATTATTTGTTGGGCGAAAAATTAAAATTTAATGTGAGGCTCCTGATATATTGTTATAATAGCAATCGTAAAAAATTAAAAATCCCTAGTCACAATTTTTTTTTTATAAGCATTTGAAGTTCAAATGTTGACAAAATTTATCAAAATATCGAAAATTATCAATCACTGTTATTAAAAAATTATAAAATGTTCAGTTATTATAACTAAGGATTGAAAAAAGCAAAGATTCTCATAAATAGTTCATGCTGTAACCAAAAAATCTAAAAAATAAATAAACACAGTTTTTTTTTACAGACATTTTATTCAAATTTGGACGAAATGTTAAATATTTATGTTCATTTACCCAGACTGACATATCGTCTTCGCTCAGAATCGTTTTTCTTATACAATGATATTATATCATTGAATTAAAAATTAATACCTTCCATTATACAGTGACCCACTTGTAACCTACTGTACAGCAGAGCGACATCCACTTACCCACCTTTTTTTTTCAGTTTGTTTCTTCAGGTCAAAGAATAATGATCATCAATGCGTATAAAGCGAAAATGATTGAAAATCCTGAATACAAAATGCTTCATCTAAAAAAAATACTTGCTGCAGATCTTGGAGTCGGACAGTCAACAGTTTATAATACGATATTGGAGTACAAAAGAAATAAAACCGTTTCTTCGCCAAATAAAACTAAAAATAGGGTCAAAATATGTGACAAAGTAGATGAATTTGACAAATATGCCATTAGGAGAAAAGTTCATCAATTTTGGCACAATCGTGAAATGCCTACGTTAAACAAGATTCTAGTAGCAGTCAATGAATTAGCCGATCTACCAAATATTTCTCGATCATCATTGCATCGATTGTTGAAATCAATGGATTTTGTATTCACTAAGCGAGGACGTAATACTGCTTTGCTTGAAAGAGAAGACATTATTCTGTGGTGGAGAAACTATTTAAGAGACATCAAGCGATATCGCGAAGAAGGTCGGCCAATTTACTACTTGGACGAAACATGGGTGTACGCCGGAGATGTCAATAGTAAAATATGGGTTGATAAGAGCGTTGTAACAGCTAGAATGGCTTCTTCGGTGGGACTTTCAACTGGAGCAGTAAATCCAACTGGCAAGGGAAAACGCTTAATTGTTTGTCACATCGGTTCCGAAGATGGATTTGTACATGGAGGACTTCTGAGCTTTGAGTCAAAAAAAAATACTCGAGACTATCACGATGAGATGAACGGGGACTCTTTTCGTGATTGGTTGCAAGGTGTTTTGCCCGGACTTAAAGAAAACGCTGTTATCGTGATGGACAACGCTCCTTACCACTCGGTAAAAACGGAGAAATGCCCAACAACAAGCTGGAGAAAAGCAAACATAATTGAGTGGCTCCAAAACAAAGGAGAGGTAGTCGACCAAACAATGAACATTTTAGAATTGTTAGAGGTTGTCAAAAAAATCAAACCATTGTACAATAAGTATGTTATTGATGAGATGGTAAAAGCTAATAATAAAATTGTCCTCAGATTACCTCCTTATCACTGCGAGCTTAATCCTATTGAGCTTGCATGGGCTGCAGTGAAAAGATATGTGACTATGTGAGAGACAACAACAAAACATTTAAACTACCAGATGTCAAAAAATTACTAGAAGAAGGGGTGAACAAAATTGATAGTGATATGTGGAAAAACTTTATTCGACACGTGAAAAAGGAGGAAGAAAAAGCTTGGGAATTGGATAACGTGGTCGATGACGTTATGACTGCAGAGAACCAACCATGCGTTCTAACCGTAGGCAATAGCGAAAACGATACAGATGAAAAATCAGACGACGATGAAGACTTTAGATATTTATCAGACAATTCAGACACCGATTAAATTAGATTTAAAATATGAGTTTAAAAAATAATTTGTCGATAACTATTTATGACTAAAAAATAGTTTTTTTTTAATTGTTAGGTATAATTTGTTTTTATTCTATATTATTTTTGTATTTATCTAATAGTATTTTAATCAAAATTATGTATGACGTGATTAAAATGTATTTAATTTTGATCAATATTTTGTATTTAAGATGATAAGTTGATTGATTTATTAATGTTTTTAGTCAAAATAGAATGTACATTTCATGAACTTTTTTATTTACCTTTTTTTATGTTTATTATATTATATTTAACAAATTAATTTCGATAAAACATAATAATTTCAGCATTACGAGATAATTATTAATTTATATGAAATACTGTTGCAAACCACAAGCGTAGCATACTTGCGCTGCCGCGGCCGTCGGGCGACTGCCGTCAGGTCACAGGTGACTGGTGTATACGCACTGCGCGCGTGAACTTTGAAAGAAGGGGTATCGGTTGTTTCCGACTCACGACTTCGGCCTCGGGCGTTGTCGCCGTGATCATTTGGACGCTTGGAGGGGGAAATTGGGCTTCGGCGTCGCTGAAGTCGTCAGTCGTGATGCGCGAAAAGTGATTATTCTCTCGTGGGACAGACTATAGATAAGGATTTAAACAATTGGGACCAATTATTACCGTATGTACTATTTGTGTATAATTCGACAGAGCACGCGGCGACCAATTATCAGCCATACGCGCTCTTTTACGGACGGGAAATAGAAATACCAGTTAAGTTGAAATGTAATCCAGATCCTAGGTATAACTATGACGATTATACATTCGATTTAAAACAAAAAATGCAACAGTCACACCAAATAGCTAGAGAACGACTAATACAAAGGAAAATGAAATCTAAAAAACATTATGATAAAAAAGTGCACAGTGAGGAATATAATATAAAAGATTTAATATTACTTCGAGATAAAACGCAGAAAAATAAATTGAATGCACTATGGAAGGGGCCATATGAAGTGTTAGAGGTATTAGACACAGAAAATCTGGTTATAGCGCGGGGCCGACAAAAGGTTACTGTTCATAAAAACGACGCTAAGAAATACCACGAGAATAAAACATTGAATATGTAGAAAAAAAAACGTTATCATAAGAATTAAATGAAATAAAAATGAATAATAAAATATAATAATAAGTTAGGAATATAAGTGTATAACATAAGTTAGGTTAATAATAAAAAAAAAACAAAAATTATATGTCTATAGGGAAAGGGAAAGAGGATTCATTCTGGAATTAGAAAAGATAATAGAACGGAACAACCACGAGGGTAAAACTATAGTAGCAAAAGATGAACTATCAAAATGTCTACTAAACCACATAAGTGAAGCAAACCATAAAATTGACAACCCATTCAGTAGAAGCGAGTTGAAAGTAATAACCAAATCAATAGCTCATAACCTATGGGATGGCACCGAGGGCGAAATAGGAAGTTCCGATTCATATTGCGAATTGATATACGTATATATAAATTGGGTCAAGGAACCAAGGATATTGATAAAATATCACCGTCGAGACAAAGTTAGACGAAGCTCTAGAATACGTAGAAACAGGAATAAAGAAATGAAGAACAAAATAATAAATAAGATATATAATGTATGAAATTTATGTTAATTTTAGGAAAAGGGACAGAGAATTCGTACACGAACTAGAACTAGCAATTTTATCTGGGGAACATGACACAAGTCCTGTAGGAAAAGACGATATACCTAAATGTCTAATTGAGCACACAGCGATAGCGAACGGTGCTCTACACGAGGTGTTTCCAAAGGAAGAAATTAAAAAGATAACAAAAAACATAGCCACATTCTTATATGCCAACACAGGTCACCACGGGAAGACAAGTAGGATTCTGAGTTGTATGGACCTGATTGAATTAATGGACTATGTGCCCGAAGCTGGAATGTTATTAAATTTTACGGATGACGAATAATAAAAAAAAATATATAAAATAAAAAAAAAAAAAAAAAATTAATATAAAATTAATAGTAATAATAGTAGCATGACATAGAAAAAAAAATGNTCGATAAAACATAATAATTTCAGCATTACGAGATAATTATTAATTTATATGAAATACTGTTGCAAACCACAAGCGTAGCATACTTGCGCTGCCGCGCACGGGGCGGTAACTCTATTGGCGAAAATAGTACATTAAAAATAGTTCATCCATCAAAAACTAGTGTCGCTGGTGTCGCTGTTTTTCTTCTCGTTCTCTCATATCTATCTATCTATGGTACTATCGCATAACCTCAAAAAAATTGACCGGTCTCTGGCTCTGAAAATCGCTAAACCACATTTTTCTACGAAAGAAATCCGCACAATTCGCATCATTATTTCTGTTCTTGGTTCGAAATTGATTTCTTATGTTGTATAAAATAGTATTTGCTTTGTACTTTTCCGAATTCAACAGTTCAAAACATGGGTAAAGAAGCATACAAATGTTGTGTGAAAGGCTGCACATTTAAAGGTAATTTTATATGTATAATATAACTAATATTTGTAAGTGGCATTTTTTGTTAAAAATTGTCAGGAAACTGCTTAGAAATGAGGAAAGCATAATGTACGCCAGGTGCCTTTGCACCTACGTACGTTTTTTGTTTTCCCATATCTTACTGTGTGTAACATGACATATTTACGTTCAGTAGAACAATATATTTACCTACCTACTTGACAAACGTAAAATTAAATTTTCAATACTAGGTGGAATGTCACACCGTTTTCCGAATCCAAAAGTATATTTGAATGTGATGAATGAATGGATTCAAATATTAGGTGAAGAACAATTTTCTGGTTTAGACTCTTCAACTATTTATTTCCAAAAAAGAGTTTGCTCCAATCATTTTAATAAAAATGATTACAGTCCTGGATCTAAAACGTTGAAGAAATGTGCAGTTCCAGTTCTAAATCTTGGAAAGACAACTATGGGTAATTACTTTTTATTGTATACATATTGTATCCCATATGTTTTCTTTTTAAATAAATATGTCTATATGTTGACTGTAAAGTGCTTATATGTCATCATATTTTTCTAGATCTCTATAGTTAATTTTATAATATTTGTAATATATTAATATTTAATTTTTTTTTGTATATGTAGATAGCTCTGGTTCTGATTTAATGCAGTCAGTCATAGAGGTGCCGTATTATGCAATTAATGACTCAGGTAATTGGTTGTGTATTGTGAGTTTATTATAATAGATTAATTAATACATTTTGCTTAATCTTTCTAGATCAAAATTTCAACTGTAGTGATTCTTTAGAAAACATAAGCAACAACGTTGGTTTTGGTTCTGTGGCATGTTCTAACTTAGACTTGTCAGGTTTTGAACAGCTCATCGATGAAAGTTTTGGTAATTAGATATTTGATATGACTATATGAGACTTGTATGTTGTTTATATAAGTAATTCATGACTTCTAGGTGATGGTGTTGATAACAATAAGGTTATTATCCCAGATTATTTAACTCCAAATCGAAATCATGACCAAATAATGAGTGAGCAAAACTAATATTTTTATTTATTGTATTAAATATTCTCATTTAGAATTACTAGTTTGCTTAATTATTAGCTTGCTTAATTATGCACCATGCTTATATTTATTATTTAATATCTGCAGCTTATGAAAATGCTTGTAGTTATGGAAGTACTGTTGGAACAAAAAAACGAAACGCAAAGAAAATTGGTTCTGGTTAATACATATTGAATTCATAAACATAAAATTTAATTTTTTTCAAATGACTCATAGTTAATATTTTGTTTTCATATAGGTTTGTTATCGACAATTGGTGTGAAACGAGCCAACCAATTGACTCCAAAATGCAAATCTCTTTATTCAGACACTGTTTGGTTAAACAAAGAACTTCGTCGTTCCAGGAAACAGTGCAATACGTTTAAAAACCGATTAGCTGCAGCATCAAATTTTTCCGGGAAACTTTTTAATTCTAAACTATCATCTCAAATGACCACATCAGCTTCAATTTTCACCAAACTACAGTTACGAGAAACTAATAATAAAGCCAGAGGACGACGGTTCACATTGGAAGAAAAATTATTAAGTTTATCTTTATACAAACAAAGTGCAAAACGTTATAGACTATTATCTAAATTGTTTACTTTACCTGGGCGAAAGTCATTAACAAATTTACTGTCAAAAATTCCTATTGGTACTGGTGTTGATAAATCCCTAATTACAGTTTTGCAACAAAATGTATCAAAATTAAATGAAAAACACAAGATCTGTGTACTTTTTTTTGATGAAGTGAGTATCGAACCACATTTGCAGTATGATGATAGTACAGGATTCATAAGTGGCTTTGAAGATAATGGTATTTCTAGGACACAACAATTTGCAGATCATGCCTTAGTCTTTATGATACGAGGAGTTATAAAAAAATACAAGCAGCCAATATGTTATACATTTTGTAAAAGCACCACTAGTCGTCATGATTTGTCGAATCAAATTAAAAAGGTTGTAAAGGCAATTCATTCAACTGGTCTTAAAGTAATTGCTACCATATGTGACCAAGGAGCAACCAACACTGCTGCAATTAATCTCCTCAAAGCAGATACTCGAGTAAATTGTTTGAGGAAAAACATTGACTGTAATGATTTATTTTATGAAGTTGATTGTGGTACAGAAGTCATTAAATTAGTTCATTTATTTGATCCACCTCATCTGTTAAAGGGA